TAACTGTTTGACTAATTATTTTTTTTGCTTTTTTACAGACTAGTGCTTCTTTTATTCTAATATTTAGCCAGATTTCTAATAATCTTATAATCTTGTTTTTAGGTTCTTCTACTATTTTACTATAGTTAAAAAAAATTTTTTTTCTTTAGTCTTTGTGTTTATTACTATAAGTTTTAATTTGGATCTATTTATTTTAATGTTATTAGCTTTGAAGAACTTTTTTGCAATACTAAGAATCTTTAATAACTGTTTTTTGCTGCTAGCAATTCATGTTATATTATCTGTATATGCAAATGCATATGCTTATAACTTGTAATATTATTACTACATACTCTTTCTGTTATTTTCTGTTCTATTACATAGCCTAATGCTTTATCTTCTTGTATTCTTTTTAGTAGTAGATCATAGAAAAGATGCCAGATTAGAAATAAAATTACCTTCTCTTAGTTTATTTCATCTTCTGTTATTATTTTTTCTTTTAAACTATAGACTGTAATAACTTTGAGTTGCTACTTACAGAAGAGATTATTTATATATTTTTCTATTCTCTGTAGTATTTAACTTTTTTGAGAGCCTACTCTAGACTTTCTAGTAGAACTAAGTCAAATATCTTCTTTATATCTTATAGTAATATCTACATTTTTTTTGTTTTTTTCTTATGCCTCATTTATTATCATATTTAATATATATAGGTTGCTATATTAAATTGTCTAGTAGTTTTATATAATTTAGCCTTTTGAGTATTTTGCTTTCTGTGAATATCTTGGCTAGTCTCTTTGTGACTACTTTTGTAACTAACTTTTTAAATATCTTAATTAGTACAATTGATTTAATGTTATTTAAACTATATCTTCACTCTATATCTTTTAAAATTAGATATACTTGTGCTATTTTTTATTTTATTAGTATTTTTTTTTGTTTTAGAATTAAGCTTGTAAAGACTCTAAAGATTTTTTGTAACTTTTTTTTTACTTACTTTATTAGTATATAACTTATATTTGATATTTCTGAAGTAATATTAGCTTTGAGTTCTTTTAGTATATCTTTTTATTTTTTTTTTTATCTTCTTTTCTAAATTCTTATATCATGTTTTATTAATTTATTCTTTTGGTTTATATACCTCTTCTTATTTTTTTATCATTTTTTTAAGCTTGGTTTTTTTTTTCTAAATTGATTTATATAATGTTTTGTCAAACCATCTAAGACTGCAATTAGTTTTGTTACTAGGTTAACTTTTTTTTTATCTTATATTATAAATCTGTTAAGGATTATATTTTTGTATAGTTTGTTTAATAAACTAGTTATTCTTTGTTCTTAATTAGTTTTAATCTTCATACATCTTTTGTTTATATTTTCTTTTATTTGCTTTCTCTAAGCTTGTTCCTATTTTTTTTTTCTTTTTGAGTATTCTTTGCCAACCTTTTATGTTATCTATCTAGACTGCTAACTACTGCCTGTGCAGTTTTAATAATATTGTTTCTATATATTTCTCTATGTCTTCAAGTTTATTGTTTATTTTAATTTTTTCATCTTCAATTATCTTTTGGTTCTCTTTTTTTTTTTCTCTTTTAATTATTTATTGCAGTTCAATAATATATATATAATGCTGTAACTTTTTTTGAACTTGTTTTCTGCTTTCTTCATTTATCTTATTATCTTTTAATTGCTTTATTACTTTTTTCTATTCTAATTAATTTTGCAGCTTTCTTGTGTATTTTTTTTTTCAATTTTATTGTTTGGCTTCTTTATAAAGATATATTGTTTTTGTTTGGTTCTTATATTTAATTTTTGTATTATTGTATTTTGTAATTGTAAGTTTTATCTATACTATTATTGTTATTATTTTGTAGTTGCTATTTGTTAAACCCACTACTTCTTTTATATTAGCTTCTTTAAAGCCTAATATAAGTGCTTCCAATAGCCAGATATAGTTAATTCTTATTGTTATTTTGTAACTTGACTATGTATATGCTTTTTTTGTCAGGTGTAAGCTTCTGTATAAGTCTGTAAAGTTTTGTTTTTTAAGTCAGTTAAATATTAGTAATTTCTTATATTTTGTTGTTTGTAGGTGTTTCCTGTCTAGTATATTGTTTACTGTATAATTGAAATCTCTTAGTATGATTACTTTTGTATATTTTTTTTTGCTTGTAACTACTTCTACAATTCTTTGCTAAATTTTTTTGCCAATTAGTTTGTTATTTAGTGGAATATACAATTCTATTATTACTAATTCCAGTTATTTAAAATACAGTTATACTTCTATTATATATTTACTAACTTTTTTAATTGCTCTAACATGTTTCTTCTATTTTTTATTTATTAATATTCTTATATCTAATTTCTTTTTCTTATCTGTTGCTACAATAGTCTAATACCTTTTGTATTGTATACATTAATTATACAGTAAGAATTTTCTTCTCTTTTTGCAATATTTGTTTTTGTTATTTTCAAAATTGTTATTTTTTTTATTATATATTTGTGAGTTCAAGATTAGTTATAACTCAATTGTAATAATCATTAAAAAAATTAGTAAGAACTTCTACTAATTTAGATAGTATATTGATTTTATTAAAGATTTGTAAAAGAGATTAGAGTCTACTGAGTTATAAGCTTTGCTCATATTCTGAAATATAAACCAAAGTTCTTTGAAGTTGCAAGAAACTTCTTTAATTATATTATTAAGTATATTGATTGGTATTGCTATACTGTTATCAAAAAGAGCAATATAGTTATAAGGAGATAATATTGAATATAATGTAAAAGTAATGTTTAAGCAGTTAGTAAAAAATTTGATATATAGTTTTTTAATATATTCTAAAAGGCTAATAGATCTAATATTAGTAAACTTCTATCAAAGATAGATGTTTTGAAAATAGAAAAAAATTTTTTTTCTTTTTATTGCTAAATATACTTTTAATTAAAATGCATTGTTGAATAGAGTAGTTATAGCTTGAAGAAATAATAAACCTGCATGTTTAAATATTTTATAATTTATATCTAAAGAACTATAAACTTTATTGCTTAAAAGTTTTGTAAGTGTATTAGAAATTTTTTCTTCAAAAAATTCTACTATTATATCTTAGTACTATTTTGAATAAATGTTTGTTTTAGGTTGATATTTATTATACTAAAAGGAGTTATAAATTTGTTGATTAATTTGTCTATATACTATCTATTAATTAAAATACTATTATATATATGTTTTGATTTTTATACTTTTGTAACAATATAATAATCTGTTTTAATGTTATCAAACTTTACAGAGTTATTGTGATAGTTTAGTATGCTGTTAATCATTAATTTTGATTAGAACTAAAGTTTGTTACATCTTTTAACTATATTTTTATTAATCTATTTAATTATTTTAATATTTTTAAGATTACATATATAGTAAAGTATTTTTAACTTATTATTAGCATTGAAGATTCAGTTAGTTAGTAGATTATATCTGGTTTGTAAAAGAGGAATAATGAGATTGTTTGGTATTATTAAGTTGTTGAATTATTTTGTTAAGTTGTATGAGTATAGATATTTGGTTTTGTAATAAGGCTTTATATTTTTTAGCTTTTTAAGACTGTAATATAGTAAGAAGGCTTTGGCATAATATATATATTGAAAGTTATGCATTGTGACTTTTTTGTTAAGAATATGTTTAAAGGCAGCCAAAATGATACTGGTCTGAATTTTGTTTTATATTGCTTTTAAGAATTCTGTTATATTAACAGTTGTAGATATATAATTAGAACTAAGATTAGTAGAAACTTGATTAATATATAATTGCTATACTTCTTTATTTATTTTTTTTGTAAAGAAATATTTATTTTTAAGTTTTGGTTATAGAATATTATTTGTCAAAATAAGCAAAGAGAAAAGAAAAAAAATTAAAATTTTGTAATTACTATCTGTACTAGTTTAAAGTTGTAAGTATATGTAAGATAAGATAGCAGATAATTGAGTGCTTTGTTCAAATGTAGTCAATTCAGATTTATAATTAGCTGCTTTGTCAAGTATTGATTATTGATTGAGTATGAGCAACTAGGTTATATATATTGTTATATTAAAGAAAATACAATAATTTGTATTTAATAAAGAAAGAATATAAGCTATTATTAAGAATATTAAAGTCTTCTAAAATAATATATTGTAAACTTTAGTTTTGTAGCTTGTTAAAACTATAAAATAATAGTATTTTGAATAGTTAATCTAAGTTGAGTATCATTACAGAGCAGATATACTAATATAATATAGAATTTGAAGTTATATTTAAAGAAAAGATTAATAGCAATAGTATAACCAGAGAGGTTATATATTTTGTAAATATATAGTTTAAGCCATTGTTGTCATGGGACAGCTCTGGACAAATTGTGGACAATTGTGGACAATTTTGAACAAAAAAACAAATCTAAATTACTCAAAATTTTATTAAGATAACCTATTTTAATTTTTAAATAAAAAATATTCAGAACTATAAAAAATATATAATCATATCTTTTTTAAACTAATTTATTAAATTTTAAAGTCTAAAAATTCTTTGGACAATTGTGGACAGTGTGGACGTTTGGACGTGGACAAAGGCAAAAAAAGTCTTGGACATAGTAGACGTGATAACACTGGGTTTACCTGCCGGATTACTAAGTACATATTAATTTGTCAATATCTGATATATATGAAAAAATAAAATACATGCGTCCAAATCAGGTATATAACAACTGTAAATGATAAATAGTAAAAAGGGTCAAATCATTATAACGTCAAGCTCCATATTAATACAAATATAAATTAAGCGATAACGAAATCGGATAATTCAAAAAGGAAAACAGTCGCTAATATTAAATAGAAAAAAAAAAATTATGAGGCACAATACATAATTAGCAATTCCAACGAAATCACGATTAAAACGAGTTATAATTGACGTATATATAATAGATATAAAAGCCATACGATAAACCAAAAAATATAACACACATAATATTATAGTATTATAAATTTAGGTAATAGTAATGGTATGTCCAGAATTGCCGACTCTACTTAACTTGCCAGTAAACCATACACTTCGTATATGGTACATACATTTTTTTTTTTGTATTTCATACTCCTTTACTGGTATTTACACATCGTATTTCATACTCCGTTTCTGGTATTAGTATATGATTATCAATTCTACAATTTTACATTGTAGAATTATAGAAATTCACGATCTACAACTTTGCATTTGTAGAATTAATTCCCCTCATCTCTAGTCCCAATCTGAATCCCAAACTGCCGTAATGCCGATATTTGCCGTAAATAGTTTGGATTGCATCACTAGTTTCACAACATTTTAAATTAGTTATATATAACAGAGCAAAATCCAATTTTTACCGTTATACTAAAATCATAGTTCTTTCAAGGTGACAACGTTGTCTTTTTTAATTAAGCCACTTAATAAATTTCGAACTATATAATTATAGTAGGATTTTTCAAAATGATTATGCTACCGAACGAATGCCTTTTTGAAATATTTAATAATTTTCAAACTGATTATGATTATAAATCTTTATTTTCGTGCCTTCTTGTAAACCGTCGATGGTGTAGAATTACTGTACCAATATTATGGAGTGAACCTACAAATTATTTAAGTGATATAAGACTTATGAGGATATATCTTTCAGCATTAAATACCGAAGAGCAATCTCTATTAATCCCATTTAAAATTATTCTTCCAAAACATCCAAGGTCATTATTTGAGTACGAAAGTTATACTACATCTGTTGGTTCTCATTTGCATTATGGAGTAAAATGTTTGTTTAAAAATGAAGAGTATGGATATTATTTCAGAAAATATAATGATCCATTTGATAAATTTGCAAATTCTATCAAATTCTCTTTAGTTTCAATGTTTCTACGAGTAAGTAAGAATCTTAAACATTTAACAATTGATAATGCTATTAATCAAACAATATTAGCAAGTGCACTTTGTAAAAACACCATTTTGTCTTCTTTGAATCTTCAAGATTATAATATTTGACCAGAAGAAAGAAACATAATAATATATGCACTTCAAAAGAACACTATACTGACTTCTTTAAGACTTTATCGTACTAATCTTGGCTTAGAAGGAGAAAAATCATTAGCGAATGCACTTTTCAAGAATACTACGTTGACTTCTTTGGATATTAGCTATAATAATCTTGAATCAGGTGGAAAAGAATTAGCAGCTGCACTTTGCAATAACAACACATTGAAAGAGCTGAATCTTTGCGGTAATAAATTAGGATCCTTTGGAGGAAAAGCATTAGCAAATGCACTTTGCAAGAACATTACACTGATTTCTTTGAATCTTGTAGATAATAATCTTGGATCAGAAGAAGGAAAAGCATTATCAGATGCACTCTGTAAGAACATTGTATTGACTTCTTTGAAACTTAATTATAATAAGCTTGGGTTAGATGGAGGAAAAGCATTGGCTGATGCACTCTGCAAGAACATCACGCTGACTTCTTTAGATCTTAAAAGTAATAACCTTGGTCCAGATGGAGGAAAAGCATTAGCACATGCGCTTTTCAAAAATACAACACTGATTTCTTTGGATATTAGCTATAATAATCTTGAATCAGGCGGAAAAGAATTAGCAAATGCACTTTGCAAGAACATTACGCTGACTTCTTTGAACCTTGAATGTAATAATCTTGGATCAGAAGAAGGAAAAGCATTGGCAGATGCACTTTGCAAGAACACTAAGTTGACTTTTTTGAACCTTGGATATAATAAGCTTGAATCAGATGGAGTAAAAGCATTAGCAGATGCACTTTGCAAGAACACTAAGTTGACTTCTTTGAATCTTAATGATAATAAGTTTAAACTAGATGGCGCAAAAGCAATAGCCATTGCACTTTGCAAGAACATCACGTTGACTTCTTTAAAGCTTGGAAATAATAACGTTGGTATAGAAGGAGGAAAAGCATTAGCAGGTTCACTTTGCAAAAATACTACGTTGACTTCTTTGAGTCTTCGTTGCACTAAACTTGGACCAGATGAAGGAAAAGCATTAGCAGATGCACTTTGCAAGAACACTACACTGACTTCTTTGGATATTGAATTTAATTTTATTGGAGCAGAAGTAGGAAAAGTATTAGAAGATGCACTCTGCAATAACAACACATTGAAAATTTTATATACTTGTGGTAATAACTTTGAATCATTTGGAGAAAAAGCAACACATTGCAGAAATATCATGAATATTCTCAATTATTCATTCGCTTAAACTGTCAGGTTTGGCATACAAATTTGAATGCTAAAATTTTTGAATGTAAATTTAACTTTAAAAAAAAATTTTAAATAAAATTTCTAATTTAATTGGTTATAATGATTTCCAATAACTCATCTCATATGGCACACTCTATAGTTATGGCATCAATTACTTTATATGACCTAAACAGAACAAATTTACACGAAGGTTTAAAGAATGCTATTTTACTTATATTTTTGATAATCAACTTGAAGTACATTTTTAATTTAGTTTAGAAAATAAGTAATTGAACAAAAATAGGGTAAAAAATATTTTAGTGTTTAAATTTGTTAAATGGTTAATGGATAATTATTTAATTATTTAAATTATATATTGTTAACTTAGAAATTTACTCTTTTAGAATTTTCAGTAATTACTAATTATAGCATAAAGACTATAACTTTATAGTTTTAATATACATTTAGAAAAAAACTTAACAAAAAAGTATTTATAGTAATTTATATATAAAATTAAAAGATAACAATATTTTGGTCTAATTATTTATTATTTTGACTAGATTATTAATTATTTTGATTATATTATCTACTATTTAACCTAAGTATTATTTTTTTAATAAATTATTCATTATTTTAACTCAACTTACTATTATTATTTTTCTTAAAAAACTATTACTTTTTATTACTTTTACTTTTTATTTATCTTATTCACTACTACGAACTAAAATAATAGAAGCAAAATTAGAATAGGTAAATAAATAGAATCTTTATTAAATTATAAATTATTAGATAGAAATAGATGGCTTGAAAATCATAAATTTTTATTTACTGTAAAAAAAGTGAACTTGTTAATTTATAACTTATTTACTAATTTTTTTACTTAATTGGTAATAAATTTATATTAATTATAACTAATATTTTATCTACTGATTTTTTCTTATTTTTTGTTAAATAATAATAAGTTTATACTAATTTATAATTAATATTCTATTTATTAAATTTTTTTTTATTTAAATAAATATATACTAATATTTATAATTATTATTTTTTTTGAATAACTATCAAATATATGCTAATTTATAACTGATATTTATTTATTATATTTTTTCTTTTTTTTCTTTTTTATTTAAATAATAGTTAAATTTATACTAATTTATAACTAATATTTATTTTTTATTTTTTTATTTAAATATAATTAAATTTATACTAATTTATAATTAATATTTATTTTATAGTTACTGAATTTATATTGATTTATAACTAATATTTATTTTTTTATTTATTTTTTATTAATTTACAACTTTTTTTAAAAAAATTATTTACTTTAAACTAAATTAATAATTTATATAAAATCTAAAAAAATAAAATAATGAATTTAGAAAATATAATTAAATATTATGAAGTTCTTAATCTATTTTAGTTAATAATATTAGTATAGATTTTAAATTATTATATATTAATAATATAGAAATAGATTAAGTAAACAAAAAAAAAATTTTTATTAGTTATATAAAGAAGTTTGCTTCTTTATGAAGTATAAAAAATAGTAAGACAACTTAGTTTTAAAAATAATAAAACTAAAAGAAATACTTTAAATATATATTTAAAATTATATTTTACATATTTTTATTTATTTTTTTAAATTATTTTTTTTTGATCTTTAGAATCGATAGCATAGTGATTATGCTCTAAGGTTACAAATTGCAAGACTGCTAGTTCAAATTCTAGTAACAGCAATTGTAAAAATATATTTCTAAAAATAAAAAACTGCAATACTATAAAACTAAAGACTTAGGATGTTCAAGAACAGACTTATTTTGAGGAATAACAAGTGACCTGCAGTTAAAAAGCTACACAGTAATAGACACAAATTAGAGCCTTATTTGGAATACCCAAAGTTGTAAGATATAATATAAAACAGAAAGTCTAATACTTATAGATACTACATAAACTCATAGTGATAGCTGGTTCTTAATAAAGCTAGCAAAACCTTTTGATCTTAACAGAAGTTAGTATAATAGATTGTTTTTAAAAAATTTAAATGTATAAACTAGGGAAGGTTATAGTTTAGTAACTTTAAAATATTAAATATATTGTTTAAAAATATATACAATACAAGAAAGATCTCAACAAGATTGGCTATAACTTCTTTGGTTTTTTGACTTTATTACTATTTTTGATTAATATAGCTTTATAAAAACTATTACAAAGAGAGTATACAATTAGCTACATATGTAATTTTTTTATATTAACTATTTAAGAAGTTTACTCAAAAGTTCTTTACTAGTTGTTATACTTAATACTACTACTTGAATGTTTTATTTAAACTCTTTAAATTTATAATTTTATTAATTTTACTAAATTATTTCAGATTCTTATTTTAACTTTAGAACTAATTTATTCTTGAATTAAATCTTCTGAAGCCTTCTGTATTTCTGTTTACAACTGATCCAAACTCACTATAACTGAATCAACACTTGCAATCAAGACTAACTATTAAACTATTATATCTTTATAGAGTTTATACAACCTTAGTATTCATTTTTATAACCTTATTAGTACTTTATTTATCTATACAAGTCCTGCTATATTGCTAATTTAATAAGCTCTACATAATATGACATTATGTCTGGATCAATTGGTAGCCAGATTGAGAAACTCTTTTTATATAAGAATTCTTGTCTGTACAAATCATCTGCTCTAAATTTTTTTCTACTATGAAATGCTTAAACATGTAAACACTACCTATATTAAAGCTATTATAGCTTTATTTAATCATTACTTTAACTTAAGTCAAATTTTCAAATAATAGAAACACAGTAGAATTTATTCAATTTCAAAATATAATATATTTAATAACAACTTAAGTTTTATTTATTCTATTAGTCTTATTGAACATATTTGAAAAGTTTATATAAAAATTATTATTACTAAAATTAGTACTGTGTTTTCTTAATATTCTATACTTTTATTATATAATTATATTGCTTTATCTAACAACAACATATCTATACCAATTCATATACTTAATAACCTTATTGAAAATGCATCATGTAACAACAAACCAATTTGGCTTTTATCTTAAAATATGAATAAAGTA